CATGGTTCTTCGCTTAGTGGGGTGACCTTCATTCCTAGAAGGTCTGGGCCACTAGCAGTCTTGCAGGAATTGAGTTGTTGTAGTTTTCCATTAACTAATTACAGGCCCTAGTAGCACTAAGGGGACCCCCTAAGAGATCTGTTGTATTCAAGACATACTCTTCCTGACTCCCATTGTGTAGTAGCAGCCCAACACTCCTTTAGTCCTGGAAAGGGATTTTGGCGCTTTCAGATGTTTCCTGCATATCCTACAGAACTATCTACAGACCAGGCCTGAGTTTTCTCTTCCCCAATCATCTGGTCATAAGGAACTCCCCATGAGGCAATAGGGGCAAACTGGGACAGAGAAGGAGGAGTAAGGAAAGTTTGGTCACTTTCTCATATAACTTGTGCCTTTAAGGTCTGCTCAAGCCCTTTCTCACATATACCAATTCCACTTGGTCGTGGAGTGGACTGCTGTTACAATGAACTTTATGGTTTAGTGGGCCAAACAACGTCCCTTTCATGATGGGCAGCTCAGGTCACATGGTAATCTGATGGCCCATGGTTAATTAAACGCTGAGGCCCTACCAAGGCCCACTAGCAAGCCAAAAGCTGTTTCTCAGTAGGAGAGTAATTATTCACAGAGAATGGTAGGGCTTTGTTCCAAATTTCTAAGTGTCTGTACTATGATTTGCCTATAGGGTCCTCTCAAGGACTCCAGACATCTCGGTCTACCACTGACACTTCATGCACCATCAGATCTGAACATAAGATCCAAATAGCTTTTCTTCCTGGACCCCACTCAAAACTAGCAGCCTTCGAGTTACTCAGTAAAGGGGCTAGAGTAGCACACCCAAATGAAATGTTGCCTCCAAAATCCAAAGAGGCCCACCAAGTGTTGGGCCTATTTTTCTGTGGCAGGAGGGGCCAGATGCAACAACTTACCCTTCGTCTTGGAAGGGATGTCCACATGCGCCACACCACCGGACCCTTAGAAATCTCACTAAAATGCATATGTCTAGAGTAGTTGGTACTTCTTGTTTACCAGATTCATTCAGGGTAATATCATCAATGTAACAAACCAGCATGGTATCTTTTGGAAGGGAAAGACCATCAAGGTCCCTGTGGACTAAATTATGACATGGCTGGAGAGTTGATACTCCTCTGAGGTTACATTGACAGCTGAAAGCAAACTGCTTCAGGTAGTCCTTACTAAGAGCTATTGAGGAAAAAAGCATTTGCTAGATCAGTACGTGCATAACAGGAGAAAGAAGATACGTTAATTTGTTCAATGAAACCATATCTGGAACACCAACAGAAATTGTACTCACTACCTGATTAAGTTCAAGTCCACTGCTGTTCTACAAAGATCCATCTATTTTATGCACAAACCAAAATAGGCAAGTTGAATGAGTGGAAATCACCGTCTTTCAAATCCCTGATGGTGGCACTGATCTCTGCAGTCCCTCCAGGAATGCGGCATTACTTTTGGTTTACTGTTCTTCTGAGTAGAAGCAGTTCTAATGGCTTACATTTGGCCTTTCCCATTTTAATAGCCCTCACTTCACAGGTCAAGAAGCTAATAAGGGGATATTGCTATTTGCTGAGTATGTGTATTCCAATTATGCATTCTGGAAATAACCACAGGATGGGTTCAGGGAACTAGTAGGCCCTCTAACCCTTCCAGATTGGCTGAGCAGGTCCAACATGATACATACATGTTAACATTGAAATTTCCTTAAATTTTCATTAACTTCCTCTACTGCATACCAACGCAGTTCTAGCATTTCAACTTTATTTAACACTGCTTGTTTTCTGTTTGTCCTCGCTGTTCTTTGTTCCTTTTTTCTTCCTCTTTTCCTTTGGATTAGTCATTTCTTACCCTCACTATTGGGTTTTTACTTCGCTTTACCCGGGGGCGCCTGGGTGGCTCAGTTGTTAAGCTTCTGCCTTTGGGTCAGGCCCTGAGCCCAGGGTCCTGGGATCGAGTCCCGCATAAGGCTCCATGCTCAGCGGGGAGCCTGCTTCTCCCTCTCCCTCTGCGTGCCACTCCCCCTGCTTGTGCTTGCTCTCTCTCTGTCAAATAAATAAAAAAATAATAAATAAAAGTATTTTACTTTGCTTTACCCTTTTAGAGGTTGCTGTAAGGTTTATAGTGTACATCTTTAACATATGATCTATCTGGAAATGATGTATCATTTTACATATAGAGTAAGAACCTTAAAAGAGTATACAGTTGACCCTTGCACAACATAGGTTTGTGCGGGTTCACTTATATGCAGATTTTTATACAGTGCTGTAAATGTATTTTCCTTATTTCTTTTAAAGATTTTATTTATTTATTTATTTGAGAGAGAGAGTACAAGCAGGACAAGGGGCAGAGGGAGAAGGCATAACAGGCCCTCTGCTGAGCAGGGAGCCCAGCCAGTGCGGGGCTTAATCCCAGGACCCTGGGATCATGACCTGAACCAAAGGCAGACTTAACTGACTGAGCCACCCAGATGCTCCTCCTTATTTGCTTAATAACATTTTTTTCCTTAGCTTATTTTATTGTAAGAATACAGTATATAATACATATACAAAATATGTGCTAATCAACTATGTTATTGGTCAATAGTAGGCTATTAGTAGTTAAGTTTTGGGGTAATCAAAAGTTATACACAAATTTTCTACTGCAAATGGCATCAACATCTCTAACCCCTGCATTGTTTAAGAGTCAACTGTACTTTTATTTTTCCCCATTCATTGTGCTATTGCTGTTAAACATTTTATTTCTAAATATGGTCTACATTCCTCAGCATATTGCTATTTTTGTTTTAAACAGTTATCTTTAAAGAGATTAAAAATGAGGAAGTCTTTTATGTTTACCCACATATTTGTCATTTTGGGTGCTCTTTCTTTGTATAGCTCCAAGTTCCCATCTGGTTTGATTTTCTTCCAACCTGAAGAACTTTATTGACATATTCTGTAGCATAGGTCTGCTGGCAATTAATCTTCTCACCTTTTGATTTGTTTGACAAAGTCTTTATTTTCCATTTTATTTTTCAGAGATATTCTTGATGGCTATAGAATTCCAGGTTTCTAGTATTTTCCTTGTGGTACTTTATAGATGTCCACATTATGTTGTGGCTTGCATAATTTCTAATAGAAAGTCTGTTCTTATTTTATCTTTGTTCTTCTGTGTGTAATGTGTCTTCCCCTCACCCCCCACCTCCCCAGCTGCTCTCAGATCTTCCCTTTATTACTGGTCTTAGTCATTTCTTTATGACATGCTTTGGTTTGTTGTGGGTGCTGTTGTTTTTTAATGTTCATTGGGCATGGGATTCATTGAGTTTCTTGGATAGTGGACTTGTAGTTTTTATAAAAATTGGCAACTTTTTGGCCATTTCTTCCAATATTTTCCCATCTCCCCGACCCCTTTTCTGGGGCTCCAACTTCACATATGTTAGATTACTTGATATTTTCCCAAAATGGAGTAATTTTTCTTTTTCAGTTGGTATATTTTCTATTGCCACATATTTAAGTTTCCTGATCTTTTCTTCTTTGGTGTATAATCTATTAATCCAATCCTGTGTATTTTTCGTTTCAGGTGTTGATTTTTTTCATGTCTAGAAGTAACATTTGATTCACTTTTATGTATTCAATTTCTCTTATGTTTCTGTTTTCCTCTGCCTTGAATGTATGGCATGAATTTACAATAGCCTTTTTAACCTTGTGTCTGCTAATTCTGTCTTCATTTCTGCATCTGTTTCTATCAGTCAATTTGCCTCTTGTCTTCAGGCCATTTTTTTCTTGCTTCTTTTCATGCCTTTATGAAAAGAAGCCTTGGGTAGTTTCATCTCAAGCGTGTGGAAAACAGTTTCAAGGGGGTTTCAAGGGGTCCTCTGTAGATCTCTGGAGCTCTCCATTTGTGGAGTGACTACCCTCCAGCATTCTACTTCACAAGTTCGAGTGGCATTGGCCTCCCTACAGGCTCATTGTGACTTTTGTGGGTCCTATGCACTTTCACCATTCAGAAATTGGGAGCTCAGTTCTTTCTCATCCTCTTTCACATACTTCCACAATAGGGCACATGTCTTAAGGGAGAGAGTGGTTACCTATTTGTTTTAGCCTCCTCCCACTATCGGGATTTTGTTTCCTACATACCACAAGACTGCACAAGATTGCCTTTTTAACCCCAGCCACCACCTCCTCCAGGCTTTTGATTGAGAGCCTCATAAATGTCTGCTTTCACAACCCTGCAAAAATAGCTTTTGGATTTTTGGAACCTCGCTCTTTAGTTTCTTGTCTCAAGGAAGTTCAGTATAGAGCAGATGCCTTAAGTAGAAAATGAGTTGCATATTTTTGGCATGTTCCTTTCTCTATAGAAGTACTTTATGTGCTAAACATCATGACACTGTGAGAGATTGCCCTCTAGCTTTTCGACCCAGCCCTTCCAACCCCTTATACCACCTTAGAATTCCATGAATGTTCCATGGGAAAGACTAGCTTTGCATTTGGTTTCTTCTAGCTTCTCATTTATTGTATGTGACCTCCAAAACTGATCATTTCACTTGCCCCCAGGAGCATCCTTCTGCTTGGGCCAAGTATTCTAATCTTCAGCCCATGCCCAAAAGCAGTACTTACCCTCAGAAAAGAAAATATCCAGCAATCATCAGTTCACCTGAGATAGGCTCTTCCCTCCCTGGCATCTTAGTTCATATGGTCCTCATTGTTTCCACCACTCTCTCATAGCTTTACAAATGTGTGATTTTACAAATTATTCATTTTTGTCCACAGTTTTGCCACAAGAATACAGGCTTCATGAGACATTCTACATCCTACTCAGAAACAGAAGCCAGACTAATAGGACTTAAGACCTTGTTTTCTCTCTAGAGCACATTGTTGCACCTTTGCTCAGTGTCACTTCTCTTCTTTGAGTCCATAGTTCATGACTTCCTAGCTGCCAGTCTCTAGTCCAACCTGGAAAGCTGTGCTGAAAGTGATTTACACTCCAATCTGTTGTGTTCATTTTTACAGGACCAGGATTAAAACCTCCAGAGGAGCGGACGATTGAATACTTAGAAGAAGTTGCAGTCACTTTTGCCAAAGGACTATCTGATAAGAAAATCTCTATAAAGAGAGACAAGGGATTAGTAGAAAGTGAGTGTCATTATTAAAGAACAAAAGCAAAGGTTCTCTCCAGAGCGTTTAATTTTATTTGCTGTAAAATAAGAAATGGGAAAGAGGTAAGTGCATTATTTGCTGTAAGCATAGAATCATCCTTAAGGAGTACAACAACTCTGCTCTAGGAACAAGTCCTAAACCTTACACTGGTTGGTTATAGCCATTTTTTTTTACTTATTAGTTTGGAAAATTTGAAGCATTAATACAAAAGTAGAATAGTATAATAGTGTAGTAGACACCTATGCACCCAACACCCAGCTTTAGCATTTATCAGCTAATTAAACCATGTGTATAGAAGTGCTTAGGTTGCAATTTGGATTTTGTGTATCATAGTAAAGAAAAGTTCTTTCAGATAGCTATAATCACTGCATTTTTATGGAGTTTACAGAACAAACTAACAAGGGAGGCTAGGCTTTTTCCAGTAAGGACCTAAAAGCGTTTTCTTTTACAGAATTGATATCATATGCCATGAGTATTCCATTTGTCAGGCAACAGATTTACAAAAAGGTGGAAGAAAAAGTACGAAAACAGACCAAAGGCCTTTATCCTGCACCTCTGAAAATAATTGATGTGAGTCTTCACCCCCTATTCCCACATTTCTCATGTTTCCTCCCTTTATATAGAGCAGTATTCTTTATTACCTTTCTGAATCATATCTGCTGGTACTAAAGTTCTTAGTTCTGTTGTTCCAGTACTCACTAAAAATAAAGCAAGCTATAGGACTTATAAAATGATATTTGGGGAATAATGAGTGCCGGGCATAATGAGTTTCAAACTACCAGTTACAAACCAGGAAAAAAGCTATTTTATATCAGTATAACAAGGCCAGTAAAATGTTGGGCATTAATTAAGAGGTAGTTGAAACAAAATTGATGGCCTTAGTTGAAACCATTGTCGGTACCTAAAATGTCTCATTGACTTCCCCATTGCCAGACTTATAAAAAAGGTGTAATGATCTGGAGAAGTTCTGAAAAAGATCAAAGAGGATAAATAAAATGATCACAGGGTTAAGAACTTCTGTCTAAAGGTAGACTTTAAAACTTAGGAACTCTTCAGTCTGGAAAGGCTCAGATCAAGAGAGCATATAATCTAAGACTTCGAATATGGAGAATAAATCAGCCAACAAATATATTTTGAGGAAAAGACACCAAAATGCATAAAACAGGACATGTGATTCCCTTCCCTCACCTGTCTCCCAGTGTGGGCTGGGGAGATTAGACATGGATCTATAGTGAGACAGGTAACTAGTGTGAGGGGCGTTAGACTCCAGCGTGGGACCACTGCCAGATAATTGGGACAGAGGAAGATTGCTAAATGCACAGGGGAGGGAGCAGTCACTGTAAGCCAGAGAAATTAGGAAGAGCCTCATAGAGTTTGACCTGAGCCCTGGAAAGTGGGTAGAGAATAGATGAAGAGAAAGTAGTACCAGGTCAGATGGGCATTTTGAGCAAAGCTGCAGAAGCTGGAGAGCATGAGGCTCTTCAAGGAACATTTAATGAGACCAGATTTTGTAGGCTAGTGAAACGTGTACAAAAAGGCAGAATGAGCCTAGAGTTTAGAAGACTGACAATAATGAATTTGGAAATTTGACCTTTGTTCTGTATAGATCATAGAGAATGGTTTAGAGGAGAGACAAAGTAGATACTTGAAGTCGGAAGCTATTTTGGCAATTCAGACTTGACGTTTGAGTAAGACCCCGAGATAGGATAGTAAAAAGGTGAAGGTAGTAGGAGACTCGCCAAAGGGAAGAGATTGTGAGCTAAGTTTTAGAGAAGTGCTGAGTTTAGATGTTTCAGGAAATTCAAGCAACAGGAGTTTAGACAAACGACAAGAGTGTAGATCTGTTTGTGTGTGTGTTTTAATCAGTTTTGTCATTCCCATAAATTATGGTGACTGAGTACAGGGTCACTTCATCTTTTATACTTGCCATTGTACTTAGGCTAGGACTTCCCTCAAATGATAAGTTGAATTTGTAGAGTTCATGAGTAACGTGACAGTAGATGATGGGCCTGAGGGAGAAAGGGGCTGGGGGTGGAGCTCTAGGGAGGTGCCTGCATTGGGAGAGCAGGAGAGAAGCTGGAAGAGCCATTTCAGCAGGAGGGAGGGTAATGAAGAGGGACGGGGAAAACCTCTTCTTGGACTTGGGCAGCACCAATGTCCACTCTTTGACGGGATGGTGGTCTAGAGGTATAAGGAGTAAGAGTTTGAGCTGTGGGACCCGTCTCTTCTTCTCCCACTCCCTTTCATCTTCCTTTAGCAGTGGCCTTGGAGGTGGAAAATGAAGTCAGTCTTACGCAGCCACTCGGTCCTCTCGTCTTTCTCATTCCACTTCCAGACTTGTGACTTTACTGTTTGAAGACTGACGGACTAGCAGCTTTATTCAGTGTTAGTCCGCCTCTCACCAGTCCCTGGCAACCGTGAACAGGTGCTTTATGTGTTGTTTTAGGTGGTAAAGACTGGAATTGAGCAAGGGAACGATGCTGGTTATCTCTCTGAATCTAAGGTAAAGTTCTTTCCTTTCCATGTATTATTATTAGATTCAAGAAAATCAAGATCTAAAACTCTGTGTAAAGCTAAAACAAGAAAAAGTACCCAAAGCCTACCCAAAATGTTTTCCTTCTAGTGATTATCATTTCTTAGGGTTAATCTCAGTGAGTGGATGTTAAGAACACCTTAGTGGTCCCAGCTGTTTGACCTTGCTCTCAGTACTGAGGGTTTAACTAGGGGGAGCAGGGCCAGAGTTCTAATCCTTTCAGAATGAGTCACTGGGATGTTTATGTTCTGGAGTTGGGCTGGTTTTGTTGTGATAAAATGAATATATTGATAGAAAAATAGGCTTCTTGCTCGTTAGGGCCTAGCAATAAGACTTTGAAGGCCAGCCTCTCTTTGGTGAATCAGAGAATGGAAGGAAATGTGGTATAGCCATGAAAAGGACACAGAGGGGCATATGAACCAGCCTCACCTCTTCCCACTTTTCCAACCAGTTGGTGCTCTTGCGGATTTAAGCAGTTTGGGTTGTTTTTAAATTTTAAGCAATCATTGAAGAATGACTGCTTGTCGATAATAAGACAAAGGTATCTCAAGAGCTCAGGACAAGTTCCAGAAAAACACATTTCTTGTACTGGGTTGCTTATTGCCGTGCACTCTGCTTTAGTCTTTGACCTCCTGTCCAGCTACACGTGTACATATGTAATTGAAGCACAGGTTTCACAAATCAGTTATTGTCCTCACTGTGTATGTTGTACTCGGTATTTCCTATCTGTTTTACTTATCACAACCCACTGAACTCAGGATGCCTGATGGATCCCTACCCACGGTTGGAAAATCACTGGGTTACTGAATAGAATCCACTTATCAAGATTAGTAGAACATTGTTTCATGTTCGATTAGGACATGAAAGCAACTTTATTAGGAGGATTCTTCCTTTGAAATGCTATTTGTAACCATGTAACCATACCAGTAAATTCTAGCAGTAGTGATGATGATGATGCTAGCTGACATTGAGACCCTAGTCATTTTACTAGCTTTCTCATCTAATTCCAGCAAAACTGTAAAATAAGCATGGTTTTTCCCATTTTAAGGATGAAGAAAGCTTGACAACTGGGAAATGGCAGAGCCAGGATTCAAACCCCGTTCTGTCAAACCCAGACTCTAAATCTCAGGTTCTTAACCACTAACCTGAGACTTGCTCTCTGTAAGCATTAGGGTACTTTTCAAAGCGGCAGGTATGGTGCAGGCAGCCTGCTTTAGCGAAAGAGAACCGGAGTTGGGAGTCCTACCCCCGGGGTGCGAGTTCCATTTCTGCCACTTGAGGTGTTGTGGTAACTTAATTTCTCCGGGCCTCCTCTTCCCAGTCTTCAAAGTGAGAGGGTTGATTGAGAGGACTCTGGCCCTGGCACTCTGGTTCCATGGAAAAGGTGAGTCGCTGCCACCGCTGGTGGGGAGAATCTGAGAGCTCAGATGTATCCAGACCCTTTGAAAGCGGTAGTGGGAAAGTACTGCGGGCGAGGAACGCCCGGGGCTCCGCGTCTCTGCAGGGAAACCCAACTGAAGGAACCCCCATCCCTGAGACTCTGAAATGCTACCCTTTCTTCTTCTCCTTTACTTTTCAGAAATTTGGAGAGCTTGCAATGACCAAAGAATCAAAGGCCTTGATAGGACTTTATCATGGGCAGGTCCTGTGTAAGAAGAATAAATTTGGAGCTCCGCAGAAGGAAGTGAAGTAAGTTAAACTCCACCTAGGGAGCCCTTGTAGGTTTCACTACAGAGCTAAATTCATACCTTCCGTCTTGCCTGCTCTTCTGTCCTGAGCACATTAGATCCCTTTCTCTACTAAGAACGTTTTGGCTTTCAAAGTTCTGCCTGTGCTGAGTTTTCTCCAGACCTCTGTAATGGCTCCTACAGAGACTTTTTTGTCTTGCTGTTGATGTCCCCTAGAAATCTGGCTTACGTCCCCTATTCCCAAACCAAACACACATACTAGGCACTGTTTAATGATCTTGTGTCTCCCTATGACTTAAGATACCATCTCTGGGAACTCACACTTCTTCCTCCTTAAAAAAATAGTCTTCTGACTGTTGAAGGCTTGTCCTTTTAGCTTACAGCCTGAACACTTGAGATTCTACTTGCCTGTCTATTCTTTTCAACAAGCCTTTCAATGCTATGCTGCCCAAAAGCTCTTTAGCATTTTAAATTTCATAATGCCCCTAAATTCACCTTCTAGCTCAGTGGTTCTCAGCCTGGGCCTTGTCTCCCCTCCCCCGGCCCCAGGGATCATTTGATAATGTCTGGAAACATTTTTGGTTGTCACAGGTTCTTCTGGCATCTAGTGAGCAGAGAGAGGTTAGGGATGCTGCTAAACATCCTACAGTACATGGGACAGGCCTAAGAATTACAATCAAATCCAAAATGTCAGTAATGCCAAGATTGAGACACAGTGCTCTATCTGAATTACTGTGAGGGCTTTCAGAGCAGCTAAGGTTACTACCTTCTCCATCCCCTTCACCTTTAATGAGATTACAATCCAAAATAGAAGTAAAACAGGTAAGAAATTTGGGTGAGACAGATACGATGCTAGCCCAAAGGGCTGATTTCCAAATAGACTATGAACTACAACTGTCACCGCTTCTCCAGCACACGTGATAAGGGGTGATCAGTACCCGTCTGTGGTGCTTGCTCCTCCCAGTGTGGACAGTATCTTGCATTCGGTGGGTGAGGTTAATCACTTCCACGCTGCAGTAGAATAACATGGCCACCTAAGTCGGCATCTCTGCATACGTTCTACAAAAATCAGTCATGAGCAAGGACAACAAAGCCACCCATTCCCCATGCATGGCATAAATAGAAGGCAGATATGCCACTAACTTCTAATTATGTAAGAGGCAAACTTTATAATAACAGGAAAGAAAAGGAAGCAAGAGAGAAAAATATTGAGTCCTGCAAAATTACAAAACTGTAAAACACACACCAACTTCTACCTCCTCCCCACCCTACTCCTTTACCCCCATCCCTTCACCTACCAAAAAATGCCATCAATTAAAGAGACTACACTTTGCAGCTGAAGAGAGTCCTCTTAAATTACAAAACCTAATGAGCCACTCCAGACTCCTACTCCTGTCTGCATATACCTCTTCATGTCATATGCAACTAGCATATAATGCCATTTGGGGAGGGTGTTGTTATACCAAATACATAAAAAAGACAGGCAACATCCACATGAGTCTCATATAAGAAGAAATAAGAAAATTATAATCAAAATACTTAAGTTTAAGAAAATTCTCCCCTGGGACGCCTGAGGGGCTTAGTCGTTGAGGTTGTGGTCCCAGGGTCCTGGGATCGAGCCCCGCATCAGGCTTCCTGCTGAGCAGGAAGCCTGCTTCTCCCTCTCCTGCTCCCCCTGCTTGTGTTCCCTCTCACTGTCTCTCTTTCTTTCTCAAATAAAATCTTTAAAAAAAAAAAAAGAAAGAAAATTCTCCCCTCCCCAAAACAGCCACAATACAGAAGAAAACTGTAACATAACACTTCTAAACTTGAATGAAATATCCTTAAATAAGCATTTGCAGATAAGAAAGAATCACCTTGAATCAGAAATTCAGAAACTCAAAACTAAATGGACAGGAAAACGGTAATGTAAGAGTTGGCCTCACTTGGGAAGTAAATGGAGGAAAAAGGAGATGAGGAATTAATTATAGGGTACCCAAGGCAGGACAGGTTGAACAGAAGATTTACTAAAGAACCTTGAAGAATTGGGGTGCTTGGCTGGCTCAGTAGGAAGAGTGTGCGACTCTTGATCTCAGGGTCGTGAGCTTGAGCCCCATGTTGGGTGTACAGATTGCTTAAATAAAGAAAGAAAGAAAAAGAACCTTGAAGAATTGAAGAAAGGGTATCCTTTTTCCTGCTTTCCCCACTGTCAGTGATGCCTCTGCTCTCTCCACTTCTGTCTCTAGGCTCTTTCCCCTCAGATAATCATTTGAATTCCTTATCTGGTTTCACTTTTTTTTCTTTTTTTTAAGATTTTATTTACTTGAGAGAGAATGAGAGTGAGAAAACAAGTGGTGGGGAGCGGCAGAGGGGGAGAGAGAGGCAGACCCCCTGCTGAGCAGAGAGCCCGATGGAGGGCTCGATCCCAGGACCTAGAGATCATGATTGGAGCTGAAAGCAGCTGCTTAACCGACTAAGCCACCCAGGTGCCCCAATAAATAAATCTTAAAAAAAAAACCCACTAACCATATAAATGCATGTGTTACTACAAAGCTACATTTGAAAGATACTTCTAGGACTTGAAATTAGGTTTCCTTTTCAGGTCATAAACATGATTTTTGAACATTATAATCAGAATTGTTAGGAATGAAACTTTATCCTAGTATTAAGTCTAATTTAGGTCTACGTAGTGCTGTAAACTTAGGCTTCTTTTGTGAAGGAAGATACTCTGGAAAAATTTTTTTAGTTATTTACTATGGGAGTATGGCATATTGCTCCAGAACTATGGAAAACTAAAAAGAATAATCAGACAGACATGATCTCTGGCCCACAAAATACTTAGAATTTAACTGAGGAGACAAAAATAATGTACATGAAACCATTCCAGAATACTGTAGGGTAAGCCAGATGGTCCTGACAAGTTCAAGAGAAGTTGGGGGTGGAAAAGGCAGGAATGTGCATGTATGAAGGTATTTGTGGGGAAGGGGAGGTAAGGTCTGGAAGCAAAGAAACCATCCAGGAGAATTTTGATCTAATCCAAGTAAGGAATAATAATGGCACAAATTCAGGAGAAATGAAAGCTTATAGGAAAATGGTAAATCACTAACAGATAAGTAGTCAGAAGAAGAGAGATTAGTTTTTGGGCATGTCACTGCAAATTGGCTTTTGTTTGGAAACCAGAAATACTCATGCTGACTTCAACATAAACCAGGTTGTTTTGTTTTCAGTGATCTCAAGACATGATTGGAGATTAATATAATTCTGTCTTCTTGTGTAGGCCAGTTCTTTCAGACCTAATGGATTTTTGTATTTAACTTTGAAACACTCTCTCCCTCTGCCCTGTTCACTCTCTCTCTCTCTCTCTCTCTCTATTAATTAATTAATTAAAGGGGGCGTCTGGGTCGCTCAGTCAGTTAAGCATCCAACTCTTGGTCTCGGCTCAGGTTATGATCTCAGGGTCCTGGGATCCAGCCGGGTGTTGGGCTCTGAGCTAGGCATGGCGCCTGCTTGAGATTCTCCCACCCCCACACTGTTCGAGTGCTCACATGCTCTCTCTCTTAAAAAATTAAATAAATAAATTTGAAAATCAATTTTTAAAAATAAAAATTATTTAAATTTTTTATAGATTAAAAATTATTTAAAATACCTTACTTATAGAAAAAATCTTTAAATAGGTTTTTATAGATAAAATCTATTTATAAATACAGATTTTTATAGATAAAAATTATTTAAAATACCTTACTTATAGAAAAAATCTTTAAATAGGTTTTTATAGATAAAATCTATTTATAAATACAGATTTTTATAGATAAAAATTATTTAAAATACCTTATTGTTGTGCCTGCTTTCATTGGTTTATTGAATAACTTAGGTGATCTCCCCCTTCTACTGAAATGATTAGTCTACCAAAAGTCATTCATGCTTTCCTTCTAGGCACCTAGCCATTCTTGGAGCAGGGCTGATGGGAGCTGGCATTGCCCAGGTGTCTGTGGATAAGGGCCTGAAGACCATACTTAAAGATGCTACACTAGCCGGGCTGGGCCGAGGACAGCAACAGGTGTTCAAAGGGTAAGCCAGCTCTCTGCCTCTGTTAGCAGAATGCTGTTTGTTTTTTGCCATTACACGTTCTTTTTTCCTGAACATGGTGAGTACTGGATGCTCCATAGTTAAGCTCTTTCCTTTGATTTTTAGAAACACTAATTCCTTTCGGTTCATTTTATTGTACATATTATAAACCATTAACATCATTGGAATCAGTAATGTCTGACTGCAGAAGAGAAAACCATCAGATATTTTTAAGTGCCATTTATTTCATGCTTTGGTATCAAGACTAGAAATTCTCATGTTTGTGGATTTTGGTGGTTTCCATCTCACTGCCGTATTGTTATGGAGCACTGAAACAGCACGACTTTGTGGAAAATGAGGATGTGAGGAAACGTGCCATAATGACACACTGAAGGTGGGGCTGGGATCAAAACTCTGGAACCTTCTATTTCTTGGCTGGCGTTACCGTAGAGAAGCAGGAAACAGATTTGGTTCCATAATGTCTGAGGCTTTACAGACTGTCTCCATCTTACCTCTGAATTAATAAAAGGTGAATATTACTCTCCCTCCTGCCCACCTACCCCCTCCCTCCTCCTGCACGCTGCCTGTTTTGCAGAGGGGGAGAAACTATGTGCTGACTGGGAAGTAGATTAAGAGTATAAGAAATAATGCTTGGTCTCTCTTTTCCAGAAGATTACAGTTACAGAATAACAAAATGATGTGTAATCAGGTATAAGTCCATGTGGTCTAGGACACATGTTGGGTGTTTCCTCCGTTATAGGTAGAGAGTTACCAGAGGTTCTTCTTTGTTTTGCCATTCCAGTAATTTGTGTTTACTCCTCTTGGCAAATTTAAATGTTTTATGAGTGTTAGAGTTTATGTAAGTTTCACATTTAGAGGCATCTTACAGGAGAAAGAATGTGGACTTGGGGGCCAACCTGCCTTTGGCCCTGTACCTAGCCATTTGACCATGAGTCCCTCTGAGCCTATTTGAGCAACTCTTCTCTCTCAAAATGGGAGTAATAGAACTGCCTCACAGAGTTGGTAAAAAAAAAAAAAAAAAAAAACAGCAGTGTCTGGCCCATGGATGCTCAATAAATGTTAAGTTTCCTATTCTTTCCTTCTGACTAGGACTGTGTTTTTTCTAGATTGAATGATAAAGTGAAGAAGAAAGCTCTAACATCATTTGAAAGGGACTCCATTTTCAGCAACTTGACTGGGCAGCTCGATTACGAGGGTTTTGAAAAGGCTGACATGGTGATTGAAGCTGTTTTTGAGGACCTTAGTCTTAAGCACAGAGTGCTAAAGGAAGTAGAAGCGGTAAGTAAGAGGCCTGTTGTACTTGAATCATAGCCTAGTGAGTGGAGGACACAGAGCTAGGTTTTAAAAAAGGAAACTCATGGTTCTTTTTATAGGGTTATTCATGTCCATACTTAGGAGTTTTTATGTGAACCCATGTACAGTATGTAGGTTACAAAGGTCAAATCTGAGTCCTGAGGTAAGAAAATCAAATAACACAGGGTTCATTAGCATTTTGTGGGAGTTCAGTCACCCAGACATATAGTAGCCTCATGGAGTCTAGCCAGCTGTCTTAGCATTTTGGGTTAGCTACAAGCCATAACTAAACTTCTTCAGGTCTAGCCAGCACAGGAAGTAGGGGAGAAATTCTCTCTCCAGGCAGGTTTCAGTGCTTACTTTGTGGAAATGCTGCTTTGGTCTTGATCTTGAGCACTCTACATGCTATGAACAAAACAAGTACCTGTCGTGGGTAGTATAAAGAAAGAGCCCAGAGGAGAACAAAAGACAGTAGTCACTAAGGTACAAGATAGAAAGAACCGGCACCTGGAGCAGCACCTACAGTTAAACAGAATGTGGGCTTAGTAGATTGTGTACACGAAATGGCACTGGCTCAGCAGCTCTCCAGGTGTCCTGAGTAGTGGCCATACTCTTACAGTGGCCTCTGTGTGAGGGCGGTCCCTGCTCTACCACACACTCGACCTACAGAGGGCTGAGACCCTAAAGACAAGCAACTCTGTTTGGGACAGTTCTGCTTTGGAATCCATGCATTGGAAAATCTTTCCTTTTGACAAAGGGTCATGTAGATTCAGCTGAAGGGGAAAGTTCAGAAGAGCTGCGTGGATTTGTATTCCATCTGTGCTAAGTGGCATTTCGGCACAGAGAGGTGGGTGGTGTTCCCGGGGCTTTGAGGGCACCGCTGAGCCAGCGGCAGGCAGATCCTTGGGGAGCTGCGAAAACGGACGCAGGCAGCATGGGGAGAAGAGCATTGACCATCTGACTAGGTGATGGTCTTTGCTTGTGGAAAGTCTGGGTTTGGGACTCCCGGCACGGACAGGGGTGTGTTAGCTTTAGCAGTTGGGAAGCTGGTGATCAAGGGAAAAAGAAAGAGGGATCAGATGGAGAGAAGTGCAGACTCGGAGCAAACTCTACAGCGTTGACCTCTGGCTTCTAAGAGGGAAAAAAAAAAACAGGGCTTCTTAAGGGCTGGCCTGGAGCTCAGAGTGTCATTCCTGCTTTCCACTGGTAAAAGCAAGTCATGAGATTCAGGAGGGCAGAAACAGAGTCTACCTCTGGATGGGAGGAGAGCCCCACGTGAATGAGAAGGGGAGGAATTGGTGCCAGGTGTCTTTGGAGACATTGGCCTGCCCTTCATAGAGAATGTCCCCACCAGCGTGAGACGCCATGCCGCTCAGACGTGCCACTTGAGACACTTCACTTCCTTGCAGTGGTGCTCTGCTTTCAACTCACACTTCTGATTAACTAAAATCCTGGGGGCCTTACACAAGCTAACTGCCAAGCCAGGTTTTGTTCAACAGGTGCCTCTCTCGCTTTTTCCCGTTTTTCTTTCTTTTTTTTTTAAGATTTTATTTATTTATTTATTTGACAGAGAGAGACACAGAGAGAGAGGAAGCACAAGCAGGGGGAGTGGGAGAGGGGGAAGCAGGCTTCCTGCCAAGCAGGGAGCCCGATGCGGGGCTCGATCCCAGGACCCTGGGATCATGACCTGAGCCAAAGGCAGACGCTTAACGACTGAGCCACCCAAGTGCCCCCCGTTTTTCTTTTTAAAAAAATCTTAATGTGGTATTTTACCTTTGTCCCCATTATAATTGATGTTACTTTACACTCAGCTTTTCAGTGTGTTGCATATATCTTGAACCTTGATTCCCAGCTCCCATGTTAGGATTTTGCCTGTCCCAGGGTGCACAAATTTGACAGGTGTGCCTTCCATGTTTTTTTATGCACACAGCTGAATAAAAACATGAATAACTTGGGATCATGAACAGAATGCTGAGACAGTCTACATTAGAGACTGTTCTCCAGGATGATAAAGATAACAGTTAATAGGATTTGTGTGCCGTAGATTAATTACAGTGGTGCACGGTTTTCTAATAGCACCCTGTATAAAATGAGCTAGGCATGCATGCTATGGCTTGTTCTTATAAAGGTAAAGGGTGGGGAGGGGGGATCATCAGCTTTCGGATTTGAGGGCAGATCCAAACAAGAAGAGGGATTGGTACGCATGCTGGATCTTGAAATGAATGAGATTTGACTCAAGGTTATCTTTTCAGTAGTTATCTGAGGTGTCTTATTTACCTAACTGTTGGGATGCAGTCTCCAGGTTAGGACACTGAGCCAGAACTAGAAGAAGGCTGAATGGGAAAAAGAACAAGACCAACACACTCCCCATCACAGGAGCCCTGGGAGGTTGGAAATGTCGGCCAAATAGTACTACTGTCTGAGCGGTTGGCGGGGGAAGCAGGGCCGGGCCCAGGTTTCATGGTTTAGCTCTGCTTCGGACTCCAGTCATCTCCCAGGCCTCCGTGACACATTCTTCAATGCTTTTCCCCTGCAGCTGATTCCGGATCACTGTGTCTTTGCCAGTAACACATCTGCTCTCCCAATCAGTGAAATTGCTGCTGTCAGCAAAAGACCCGAGAAGGTAAATTCTGAACAGGGGGAAGACCCTGAAATGTTTTCCTGCCGTGGGCTCCCTGAGGAAGGCTTAGAGCATGAGAAGGGCCTGGTGTGGATTGTGAGGTGGAGGGGGTGATGATGTCTTCCCCAAAACTGGGCACAGAGAAGCTAATAATACCGTGACCATTGTGAGATGCTGGGATAAGTGAAGTACAACCAAAATATACTTTTATAGGTGATTTGCATCCCTAACAGCTCTTATTTTTTTATGTTCAGACTATAAAACCTACCTTTATTACAATTAGGTATTTAAAGGTAGGCCCAAGGGGCACCTGGCTGGCCCAGTTGGTAGAGCATGTGACTCTTGATCTTGGGGTTGTGAATTTGAGCACCATGTTGGGTGTAGAGATTACTTTCAAAAAATAAAATCTTTAAAAACATTTTTAATTTTAAAAAATAAAGATAGGCCCTTAAAATAAGAGGGGTACTCCAAAATATCACTTCAGTTACAGAGCACACACGGGTGACAATCTAAGACAGGTTTGCTTCCAATTCCACGTCCAGGAATAGAAGATCAGGATGGGTGGTGAGGTGTGTCCACCTATGGGTTCACTTAGAACTGCTAACCCAGGATATGAAAGGGTAGAAGCACTTTCAGTGAGTATTTGGAATGATGCCTGGAAATTTATCTTTGGGCTTCTGCTGTCTACCGGGGTAACCCAGGGAAAGTGAAATCACTCAAGGAGAAATAAAAGACCTCACCTCTCTGGAGGATAGCAATTAGCCTCAGCTAACCAGAGCCAGCCAAAAGTAGGAAGGAAATATAAGAGACCTTTAAGCAGCTGAAATTGTTAAGACAGAGTCCTTGTATTGAAAACACAAAAGTCTATTTATTCCTATTCTAATAGCTTGCAAATGCAAGTTAAGCTTGTTTCCTAGCACACCGTAGATTGGAAGCGATACAGGGCCTGACAGGCAGGTTCAGGGATGGCAGGAAAAGGTCACAGGGAGAAGTGTGACACTGAGGGAAGACACAAAAACAGTATAAAGGCAGGTTGACAGTCTGGCCATGTCACATCACTCAGCACCTTGGCAGCATTTAAGTCAGTGAAGGAGAATCTTTGATGCTAACTTCTCATTTTCCCAGTGGAGTGGAAAAAGCGTCATGTTTTGCAGTCCTGGCCTCCAAGTATCTTGGATAGCTTCTGTCCCCTGCTTCCCCTATGTTATATAAAATTAAGGTCACAGGGGCACGGGGAGGGTGACCAGCCATCTGTTTATCCAGGACAAGTTGGTCACCTTTGGCACAGCTTTCTTGAGTGATGTAAATAGATTTGCTTGGGGTAGTGATCACATGAGTGTATATACAATTGTCAAAACTCATCGAAATGAACACTTTAAGTTCTGTGCATTTTATTGTGTATAAGTTGTATGTCACAAAGGCTAATTCCTTTTGCTCAGAAGTACTGAGTCTGAATCAGGTCCTGTCTTTTTAAATAGTTTAGACATAAGTTAAGGAACAGTTTAGGGTTTAGAAGCAACTTTTGGATTGTTAAGTTTATGGAACATTTAAGTGACCTGTGCATTACATAATGGAGAGTAGGCGGGCTTTGGAGACAGGCCAGCTGTGATGGAATCCCACTGCCGTTCACTAACTGACCCTGAGCTACCAATTTTAACTCCCTGATGACTTTTTTCTTCATCTAGATAAGACTGACTAGTTCACAGAGTGATGGACTAAATGTAAGGAATAAATGGCAAAGGTATTAAAGAACAGTGGATAGCCAGCAGTCAATAAATGGTAGATATCATTAGTTATATCTTAAGCTTAAACGAGGGTAGGGGGAGCAAAACTAAGTTTTATGATTAAATTATTCTCTCCCACAGCAATGGAGTTGGGAGACTAATTGTTAGCTTAAGGAGGAGGTTCTGAACTTCAGCATGTATCAGAATTACCTGGAAGACTTCTTAAACACAGATCTGGGCCCTGCCCCTAGTCTTTCATTCAGTAGATCTGGGTCTGGGGTGGGCCTGAGAATTTTAGTTCTAAATTTCCCAGGTGATGCTAATGTTGCTGGTCGAGTTACTTCACTTTGAGAATCATTGGTTTAATGAATCTTCGGGTGCATTTGAATGCTTTTGGTTTTTTTTTTTTAAGATTTATTTATTTGAAAGAGAGTGCAGGGGTGGGGGAGAGGAGCAGAGGGAGAGAGGAATCTCAGACTCCCCATTGAGCGCAGACCCCGACACAGGGCTTGATCTCATGACCCCAAGACCATGACCTGAGCCGAAATCAGGAGTTGGATTTTCAACCGACTGAGCCAGGTGTCCCTGAATGTTGATAAATCTTATTTAAACCCAGTATCCTGGTAGTGAGACCCATCTGTGTAAAATCCAGATACATCTGACAGTCGAGCACATTGATGGATTCTTCCGCCTGTCTCTGCCTCCCCCACCTCAAAAAAAGTGGACCCTCTGAACCATCAGTATCAGTAATACAAGTGGGACTTTCATTCATTCTTCCCTGATTAATTTGGCCAGTAGCTGTGATTTTGGCACTAATTGTTGGTAGGATCTGTTTCCCTAGAAGCAGATGGATTCCCTAGAAGATGATTCCAGTGAGCCCTCTGAAACATACTGAACTTTTTTTCAAAGAACCACAGAGCCAGACCACTCATCTCCCTTGCTTTCCTAGCAAAAAAAATGAGTGCTCTCCAGTTCTTAGATCTGCATTCTTAGATCTGTTGGCTTTGTACTCCCCTTGCCAGGTGATTGGCATGCACTACTTCTCTCCTGTGGACAAGATGCAGCTGCTGGAGATCATCACAACCGAGAAAACGTCTAAGGACACAACCGCTTCGGCGGTAGCCGTCGGGCTCAAGCAGGGGAAGGTCATCATTGTGGTTAAGGTAAGGAGCTGTGTGACAGAGTGGCAGATGGGGCAAAGTTCTGTTAAGATTCCTTATACCTTCAGGCTTGTTTATAACTATTCTGGGGGCAAACAGGTCACCTTTTGATAGGATTTCCCCTTAGTTGTGTGCAGTGTGGACAGTGGTGTGGACCGTGCTGCTGAGTCAGGATCTGAGAGGGGCGTGTCTGGGACGTGTCACGTTCTCCCAGCCATCCCAGACTGTGAAACCCTGTGCTGTGCCGTTTGGTTCAAGCCGTGCTGCCTTGGCTCTGGCTTCCCCCACGATATAATTTTAACGATTCTGTTTGCGAATATAAATTGCCTTGAATTTTGGAATGACACGTGGGGAAGAGAGCCTGCTTTCAGCCTCACGTCGTACCTACAGCAGGGGGGCCAGTGAGCTCGCATTCTCTCCCTTGGCAGGATGGACCTGGCTTCTACACCACCAGGTGTCTCGCACCCATGATGTCTGAAGTCCTCAGGATCCTCCAGGTCGGTACTGCTCTCGGAATGTTGGAGGCATCTTCCACTCCTTAAACCAGTCCTCCAGACTGGTAGTCAAGATGAGGAACAGGCTTCCTTCTAATACACTTTAAGTCCAGGTTCTTCTCCAAGAAGGCTCTTTTGTGCCCAGTCTTTCCACACTGTGGTGGGAAATCATGGGCTTTGCTGCCCTACAACGGGCAGAACTTTAGCTCTGCTCCCTTACCCCCCCTCCCTGCTCCACTAGGACCAAATGCCTCCTAATGTGCTCTTCTACACACCTTCTGCCTCCCCCGCTTTGAGGTGGGAGCTATCCGGAACAAACAGGCCCACTTGGGCTGGTTGGTGCTAGAGCAGCTTCTGCACACACCCCTCGGGTGGCACCTCCTCAGACCCAGGCTCTGGGGGGCTCTGCCACACTGCTCTGTGAGGTGGTCTCTTCTCTGTTGTGGGAAACTTCGCCCTGTCTGCCATGGAATCTCATTACTACAAAGAAGGAAATGAGTAATGTGCTCATCTCTAAATGAAGTTGTTCAGTCCTAAACCTGTGGATTAGGAAAGGCTCAGACTTTCCCCCTGGTGGCTCCCAAACCTCCTTTGCTTTCCCTGAGTGGGACAGCCCCAGTCCTGGGCCTGGGCAGGTGGCACCCAGGAGAGAAGTGGGTGGTGGACCGGCCCTGTTTCAGAGGGCCGGCATGGAGAGCCCTTGTGGGAGGGTCTGGAATGCCTTCCTCCCCTAAGATCCCTGCTTACCTCCCGTTCAGGAAGGAGTTGAGCCTAAGAAGCTGGATTCCCTTACCACAAACTTTGGCTTTCCTGTGGGTGCTGCCACACTGGTGGATGAAGTGGGTGTGGATGTAGCAAAACACGTAGCGGAAGATCTGGGCAAAGCCTTTGGGGAGCGGTTTGGAGGTGGAAGCCTAGAACTGCTGAAGCAGATGGTGTCCAGGGGCTTCCTGGGTGAGTAGCCTCAGAGAAACATAAGTAACCCATAAGAACAAAGTTTCCTGAGACACACAGTTACAGAAGGCCCATGTGGGAGAGTTCTTCCTAAACACAGAGCCCACTATCATGGGGAATTTTTTAAATGATTTCATGACAACCTGTTAGGCAGAACCCTGGCCTGAGGCTCTGCCATTGCCCAAGGTATGCAAGCCAGGCATTTTCATCTGGCCCAAGGCCTCTAACACATCTGTGATCCTGCAGGAGCAAATTCGGCACCCAGACTTTACCATGCTGCCTGGCCACCTATGTGGAGAAAGTGAGGCCTCTGAACACAGAGAATATGGTTGAGGCCCACCAGAGGTGGCTTTCTCTCTTGGCGAAGGAGCAGCAGAATCAGCCCCAGGACCAGGGCATATACTAGGTCCTGGTGTTGCATATCTGGACATTAAAGCTCACCCAGATGGCCTTTCCCATCCACATACACAGATTTTCAAGCCCTAAGAAACACAAGATCATTTTTCCTTCTTTGCCAACTCTGCAGACAAATACACACTAAATTTCTAGGGTTAGCTAGACAGACACATTCAGGAATACAGTTGAGAGGCTGGGGCTTTACAGCAGATGAGAAGAGAAGAGAATTCGCAGGCCCAGTCTCTGAGATTTGGTAATTCTCCCTTTTCTGGCTTCTTTTAGGTCGCAAGTCTGGGAAGGGCTTTTATATCTACCAGGAGGGTGTGAAGAATAAGAATGTGAATTCTGACATGGACGGTATTTTGGCAAGTCTGAAGGTGCCCCCAAAGTCTGACGTGTGAGTTAACTTTAGTAGCTAATAGTGTGGAAAGCTGTTTCTCTTCAGCCCAGAGCTTCTCAGCCCTCTTCCATCTTCCCTGTGATAATCCCCTTACCTGACCAGAATACTTTTGCCCTTCGACGTGCCATCTCGTGTTGTGCCAGGCATCAGGATAAGGACTGTAGCTGAGCCTTGGAAAGACCCCTGGCTCCAGCCTTCCCTCTGAAGGTCTGGAGAGCACCTAGAAAAACTGTCATCCTAGGCCCCTTCACCCCCACCCCCAAACCCTCTTTATCATTCGTAACTGACAGCTGATGGTGGCAAGAGATCCCGTCTAGTCTGCCCAGCCCTGCAGAGTGGGTGCCAGTCTCTGGTTAGTTAGGGCAGGAAGCTCTGAGCCATCTTTCGAGGAGCAAGGCTGGCCTCCCAGTGGCCCCTTCTCTACACAGTGCAAGTTCTGTGCGGGCTGGCCCTCGGAGCAGCAGCGGCACCAGCCCTCATCCATCCCCGCACCTGCATCCTGGCCCTGTGACACGTCAGCTACCCGAATGTGTCTCCCTGTTGGCAGCTCCTCTGACGAGGACATCCAGTACCGCCTGCTGACCAGATTCGTGAATGAGGCCGTCCTGTGCCTGCAGGAAGGGATCTTGGCCACACCAGCGGAGGGAGACATCGGAGCCGTCTTCGGGCTCGGCTTTCCCCCATGTCTTGGAGGTTGGTCTTGCAAGTTGGGAAGGTAGCTTGTTTTATCCCAGAGCTCATTTTGTCGTCTCCTGTTCTTCCTTCCAGGGCCCTTCCGCTTCGTGGATCTGCACGGTGCTCAAAAGGTAGTGGACCGGCTCAGGAAGTATGAGGCCGCCTACGGAAAACAGTTCACCCCGTGCCAGCTGCTCATCGACCACGCTAACAGCCCGAACAGGAAGTTCTGCCAGTGAGCAGGCCCCCGCCCAGCCAGCGGCGCTGGTTCTCTGGCAGAGTGGCACCTAGACGTGTCAGAGGAACCAGAAGGCAAACAAACTCTGGCACTGGGTGTGCACCCTGACTAAAGTGCCTTCAGTTAGGACAGTCTCTCCCTCCTGGTGGAGTCTGGCTGTGAATGAGTTTGCAGTTCATTTTAGGAGGAACCCGTAAGTCCTGACACCCTGAGTGCCGGTGTCTCCAGAGCCATCTTGCTGCCTGCTCCACCAGGGCCGGTGGTGGCTGGTGGTGGCCCGGGCAGTTCTGCACCCAGCCACGTACGTGATAACAATAAAAACCAAACTCTAACAGCCTCTGTGCCTGCCTGCTCCTTTTTCTTCTTGCTTTGCCCTCCTGCTTTAAACCCCTCCCTTCAAGGAGCCAGAATAAAGCCTTGGGCTTTTGAGCTGTGAATGTGTTGGGAGAGTTCTAGGCAGCACCTTGAGAGACAGACTGACGATAAAGGGGGACTTGACGCGCTAAAGCCTTCGAAATCTGGTCGTATTGACACACTCTGGCAGGCTTCTGCTTGCCGTGGGGGAGAGGCCTGACTGGCCAGAGCAGGTGAAGTGCCACAGGCTTGGAGGCCAGGTTTTAAGAGATTTCTTTCCCCAGACTAATGCCTTGTAGCACAATGGCACCCAGTTCTTTTTATGGTGGGACCCACATGTTCTCAGAATGTTAACACTGGAGTGAAGCAGAGGAGAGAATATTTTCCTGGTCAATAGATCCTGCTCGTCTTGGCTGCCCCAGAGCATGGAAGGATGGATGGATGATCAGAGACCCCGCAGGAAGCCGTTCAAGGAATGCCGAGCCAACCCACCAGCGCCACGGCGCTCGAGAGCCTCCTGTCCGCCCTCCCAGTGCCCTCGGGGCTGGAGAGTCCCTCTGCTCTGTCCTGGTAGCAGCAACTCCCAGTATGTGTGAACAACCTTGGGGCTCCTGCCCAGTCCGGCGGAGGGGCCCACACTGCACATGTGCACAACCATAAGTTCCCGCGGGCAGAGTGCGTCGCGCTGGCTCCCTGCATTACTCACGGTTGCTGCAAAGCCAGACCCTAAAACCAAGGCATCTGTGCACTGGGATTTTCAGATGACCAGTAGAAAGTAGAGAACAGATCTCACCAGAGCCAGGAACAGGCTTCTAAGTGGGGGCTCTGGGAGAGCCTCAGGCAGGCATTTGGTCAGTGCGGGAACGTAAACGTGGGCCCTGGCTGGTGACATGGAGCTTTCCACTCAGCAGCACTAGAAGCTAGGAATTAGGGTGAAACGGTGGTGGGAGTTGGAAGGTTCTTGTAGGGTAGGGGCTGGGGAGGGACTTTCAGAAGGGAACCCAGGAGTGGGCCGCAGGCACACCCCATTCCAAAGTCCTCCCCTTCCCCGGAGGCCCACAGCTTGTACCTGTCAGGCCCCGGGGCCCTCCAGAGGAAGAGTGTCGATGCCCAGAGTCGCACCCCCACTACTGTTCAGTGCTCTAGCATTTATTTCACGCGTCCTTGAGGATTCAAGAGAGTGATCGGCAAGGAAACCCAATGCTTCAGCATCACAGTGTGTGTGCTCGACTTCCTGACTCCCCTTCCCCTGAAGCTGGAGGCATCTGCTCGGGGTTCGAGCACCAGCATGGCTTCACTACACTTAAGAGAAAAACGGAGGAAATAAATATCTAGGTAGGCTAGGTAAGGCGGAAGAGAAGGCTGGTTGGGCTGGGGCCTGCTGCCAGTGGCGTGAGGGGAGCTGGTGCAGCTCTGGGCGGGTGGGTGGTTGGCCACAGTGGCCAGCCTGCTCCAGGTGCCCACCAGCCAGGCCCCGGAGACCTGACGGGAGGCATACGAACACGCGCAGGAGGCCTGAGCCCCGGGAGCCGGGAGAAAGCCCGTCTTCCCAAACCACGGTGCTTTCTCTTTCCCACCCAACCCACCTGTGCCGGTGGCAGAAAACCAGAGGCCCACATGTGTTTGCCAGAGTCCAGTGAAGGGGGCAGGAGACAGGCGGAAGTGAGTGAAGGCCACTTGCCTCCAGAATCCAGGAGCAGCTGACCGCAATCTACCTGCTCTTCCACGGAGTGAGGATCTTCTCAGACCGGAGCCCACCCGGCAGGACGGGAGGCAGAAGCCCGGGCACTGGCGACGGCAGGGGAACATCCGCCTCCCTAACTAGACGAGCAGGGCAGCAGCAGCGCTGGGCTCCCGCCCGAAGTCCTCACCCGCCAACCCGGCTTGTCCTTGAGCCGCCCGCGCTCGGGGCCAGGGCCCGAATTCACAGAAGGGGAAAGGAAGGGCCTCCCAGACATACAGGAACGGCCCCCGGACTCTGGGGCAGCTAAGGCCAAAAGCCCACAGAGCACAAGAGGAGGGCGGGGGCACTTGGGGAGTTTGTGCTTAAGTTACGGACCATCTTCTTCCCTTGTCTCTAACCGGAACCTACAAGCTTGAGAAGTGCCAGATGTCTGTGAAGCTCTGCATCAGGACGGGATGATGAACACCCCCTCCCCCACCGTGGGAATCACAGCAACGTGTCCCCAGGCCCAGGTGCGCACTGGTACCTCCAGCACCCTCCCCACTCACTTGGCACAAAGGCCAGACGTCCCCATTTCCAAGTGTGTCTCCCCTGGATTCACTCGGAGGGGCTGCCTGGCTGCCTCAGTCTGGGCACAGATTCTCACTCTGGGCGCACTGCCCCCCCCCCCCAGCAGACCCGGGGCTAACCCCCGCGGCCTCCGCGTCTGCGTTCCGGCTGTGCAGCTACAAGCTGGGAACCTCAGATCTTGGGCCGCCAGCCTTTGATGAACTGCATGATCTTCTTGACCTGCAGCTTGGTGAGGTGGAAGTCATCTGCCAGGATGTCCTCACTGAGTTGCACAAAGATGCTGCCATCAATGCGTTCTCGGGCAAAGAAGCTCACCACATCCTCTGAGAGCCCGATGAAACGCAGACTTCGAGAGACTTCTTCCAGGGAGAGCGCAGACAGGTCAGCAGGGGGCTGCCAGGAGGAGGCATCCCGGCCTCCCCAGCCTGCCGCCCCCTCCCGGGGACTGGCAGGAGGCCCTTCCAAGCGCCCTTGGGTGAGAAGGAGCCGTGCTCCGCCTGCCTCGGGCCCCTGCAGGGCCACCGGTGACAGCGGGGTGGGGACCTGCCGCAGCACCAAACCTTCCGGTTCAAAGGCCTTGGGCCCAAGTGGCGAGAGGCAGGGTGCCCCCACAGCTCTGGGCTCCTGACAGCGGAGCAGCTCGGGCTCTGGAGAACTGCCCTGGCCCAGCTCAAAGGGATCAAAGGGCTCCAGGGCTGGTTCCTGCCACTCAGAGGCGGGGGAGGAGGAGGTGGGACACGAGGTGGCAGCAGCTGAATAGGCCTGGCCTGCTGAGCCTGGGCCTGGTGGAAAAGCAGGGCTGGAGGTAGCCAGGGGACCCGAGCTGGTGGTAGGCCCAGAAGAGGAGGCCGCTGAAGGGCCGGAGGGGTAGGCAGGCCCCGAAAAGGGGTTGAGAGCTCCGAACGGAGCAAAGCGTTTCTGGGGGTGAGAGGGCTTGAACAGAGGCGGGCAGCTGTGGTAGGCCTTGACGGGGGTGTCCGCTCCCAAGAGGGAGGTGGCCCGACCGCTCAGGGGCTCTGCAAGGGCCCGGGCGGCCTGGCTGGGCTGCGTGGTCGAGGGCAGGGGTCCCGGGGGTGGGCGGCTGGAGGACTCGCCCGCCTTGCAGTCTCCCCAGGTGCATGGGTAGCAATAAAGGGAGTAGGCGTCCGGTGACGGAGAGCCACTGCCACTGCGAGACCCTGTCCTGTGGGCAGAGACACACACACGGAAGGGTCAGCCAGTGCAAGAGGGAAACGCCACAGGCTCACACGCAGGACACAGCAAACCGCTCTGCCAGGCCAGAGACGGCCCCTGGGACCTCAGCACCACCTGCTCGCACCCCAGCCCCCAAGGCCCGAGACCCCCTGGGACTGCCCTGGTCTGTCTTCCAGCCTTTCCCACCCCAGGAAAAATTAAACTTAACTGCATTACATAAAAATTTTAATAGAGCAAGGAGCAGTCCATCCTGCGGCCAATCCCAGCCTGAAGGGAACCTGAGCAGTGTTCCCAGCCAATCGTCAGCACTTAGGAACAAGCTGGACCAGGAAGGTGGAAAGCAAAGCAGTGGGCCCCAGCCCCCGGCACCCTCGAGAACCTGCCCGCTCTGAACGGCAGGCCTGGACTCTTCCTCTCCCTCAGCACTGGCCCCCCTCTCCCCGCCCTTCCCCTCCTCAGTCTCCCGCAGGAGGACCCAGCACCAAGAGCAGGCAGGGGCTCACCCGTCCTGAAGGCCAGACGAGTAGTAGGGGAGGCTGGAGCTAGGTGAGCGGCCGGGCTGCAGCTTGGGGAAGCGTGGGGGCACCGGGGGGCTGCCCGAGAGCCGGCCGCTGCCATTGCCACCCCGGGGAGGCACGGGGGGGGCATTGAGCAGGCGGCACTCCTCCTTCACCTGCAAGCAGAGCGCCATGACTCCACGCCCTGTCCCCAAGCAGTGGACACTCCTTACCTTCCCTTTCCCAAGCAGCTGGGCAAGGAGGGTGTCTGGGCCTGACGCTTTGCCTTACCTCCAACTACTCACCCACCCCACCCCTTCTAGTCTCTCCAGCCACTCTGAGAGCCCACATACACCACCTCCCACGGCCCTGGAAATCCATCCTGAAGGTAAGAGAATACAGAAGTAGACTCAAATAGATAGTCAACCTAGTCCCTCCTCAAGGAAAAGGAAAGTGGTGTGACAGGGAGAGAAAGGGATGGACAAGTATCTGCCATCTGGATCCCTTCTTTATAGGTCAAATACTCAGAGTGGACTCCCTGGGATATTAAAAGCTTGAGTCTATTTCTGTGGACAAGTATGGTTGGGAAATTCTGTGTTAGGTATAAATAGGGTTCCTTAGCGCAGGACTTCTCAGAGCTTTTAATGAACCAAAGTTCTATGGCTCCAAAGTGAGGAGCAGGTGAGCTAGGAATCCTCCACTACATTTTTCTAAACTTATTCCATCATGGGACCTTCTTTTCACGGGACAACTTAAAGGACTCCTGTTCTGTGGGGCCTTCAGGGCTCATCCCAAATTCTCTCAAGCTGGAGACCTACTAGCATCTTTGTCTCCAAAACTCCCAGCACCACTGTCTCTAGTATACCTCACTACAAATACG